GGTGGGGGGGGGATGGGTGGTGTTAAGAGAGTATGCTCAGAGTCTCAGATGCTCAGAGCCCAGACTGCCCCTGCCCTTGCCCGCCTCGCTCTGACCCTGCCACTGGCGGATGGCCATACCTCAGGTCATCTCCCTGGCCTGCACACTCGTACTGCAGCTGGCCGGGCAGGCCGGCCACAAAGGCCTTGAGCTGCACCGTCTCCAGCGCCGCCCAAATGCCTTCATCTGTGTGCTCCTGAAGCAGGTCCAGGTTCATCCGCAGAGAGCCTGGGAACAGGACAGGGTCCTGGCCAGAGGGACACTGGGTCAGAGCAGGGCCATGCCGTAGCTCGCTCCTCTGCCTCCTCTTTCCCATGGTCCTAGGCCTCACCTGAGGGATGATGGTGATTCGGGACCGCAGCGTGTGCAGTCCCACGTGGGCGATGGGGACTCCGTCGATCCAGATGTCACCCTCAGCGGCCTCCTGAAGCCGCAGCAGACCCCAAGCCAGGGAGGACTTCCCGGCCCCTGTCCTGCCCACGATGCCCACCTGCCAGGTAACGAAAGAGTGAGGCCCACACCAAGCAGGTCTGCCCCAGCCCTGGGGTTCGTGGATACCTATTTGCTATTTGAAAGGTTTTTTTTTCCTGCACAAGACTTGTCTCTGCTGACCCTCCGCTGAGCATGCCCCTTCAACACATCCTTCCATTCCACCTTCCATCTGTGCTCGCTCTAGCTCCTCCTCCTCCCGACATTTCTGCCCCTTGCCTTTCCTCTATGTCCTAGCCACCTCCATCACTTCCCATCCCTCCAGGTGAGCCCTCCCAGTTCCCAGAATCCTCTTCTACATCCTGTCCTACCTGTGTCTTCTCCTTCCAGTCCTTATTCTCTCTTCTACCCACTGATCAGTTCATCCATCTTTTCTTTAATTCACCCCACCCAGTCTCATCCTTCCCCACACTTCATCCTCTGTTCCTTAGCCATCCTTCCAAGCAGCCCAACACGCCCCTCATTCAGGGACGTCAAGGTTTATAGGAAGCCACCCCCAGAGGCAGATCAGGGCCTGGGAGATGGAAGCCAAGAGCTGGGCAGGGTCTCAGACGTGGAGACTGGTGCCCACACAATGCAGTGGGAGGGCTGCTCACCTTCTCTCCTGCGTGGATCTTCAGGGTCACGCCCTGCACAGCCAGCGGCAGCTCTGGTCGGTATCTGAGCCCAAAGTCCCGGAACTCAATCTGTCCCCCGCTAGGCCAAAGAGGTCGGGCTGCACAGGTGGTCAGCCTCCAGGGAGCCTGGGGCAGGGGGCAGGTTGGGTACAGGTCAGAGGAGCTGTCCTCAAGCTCTGCATGGGTGCCTGCCCCCCAGACCTCAGCTTCCCACGTAACACACTACACTCTTCATTTGGAAATTGCTCCAGCTCATTCTAGCAGCGTTTCATTGTTTTAAAACAAGGTCTCAGTATATAGTCAAGGCTAGCCTCTAACATGCTACATAGCCAAGGCTGGCCTCTAACATGCTACATAGCCAAGGCTAGCTTCTAACTTTCCTGTAACCCAGACTAGCCTCCAACTCACTATTTAGACCGGGCTGGCCTCCAAATCACTATTTATCCCAGGCTATACTCCAACTCTCTATGTAGTCCAGAATAGCCTCTACCTTTTTATGTAGCTCAGGCTAGGCTCCTGCTTGCTTTATATAGCCAAGATTGGCTTCTAACTTACTATGTAGCCCAGGCTAGCCCCTAACCTACTATGTAGCCCAGGGTAACTTCAAATTTTCTACCCAGAGTACCTTCTCACCACGGAGCTCAGAGTAGCCTTAAACTCACTACCCAGACCAGGATGGCTTCCACCTAGCAGTAATCCTCCTGCCTCAACTTCCTGAGTGCTGAGGTTTATTTGTGAGCTGCTGCACCCAGCTTGACGCCACATCGTTCACCTTGCTGCTCTGTTCCTGACGTGTCATGTGCCACCTGTCTGCCCTGGGCACACGGCAGCTGTGTGGCTGTTCTGTCCCTGGCTTGCCGTATGTTAATATGTCACCCCAGCGCCACTGGCCTGGGTGGCAGTCTGGGCCCTGTCCTGTGCCCTGCTGCGTGGCTGGAGCCCGGCTGCCACCTTAGTGTCATCCCTAGGCTGGGGCAGTGCCCTTCCTGCCGCTGCAGTGTGACAGTCACTCTTGCTTGGCATTGGAGGAGCGGCCTGGCCGCTCCAGCAAGAGAGCAGAGCTTTACACTCTTGGCTCTCGCCGTCACCCCGGCTGTGACTCCAGCCCACGGGGGTGGGGATGCTGCTCTGTGGGAAAGGAATGGGCCGGCGCCACCCTGGACCCACCGTCCCCCATCCCGTCTCCCTTTTATCACCTCTTTGGGGATGTGAGCGTAGTCCTGCACACGCTCCACCGCCACCATGCTGTTCTCCAGATCCGTCCAGCTGCGGACCACCCACTGCAGGGTCTGTGTCACCTGGTTTGAGAAGACACCTCAGAGGGGCTCCTCCCCACACACGTGCCGGGGAAGGCAAAGAAAGACGGGCTGTAGGGACAGGGACGTTGAGGACCTGGGCCTCAGGGGTGGGACTTGGCTTCGGCCAGTAAGACAGCGAAGAGAGCAAGTGGGTGGCACTCTCCCAAACCTACTGGCCCAAAACAGAGAGGCAGGACCAGAGAGGGTGCCTGGCCTTTCCGGGACACACAGAGACCTGGTCTGTGGGTTCCATTCAGGTAGCTTCCACAGTGGGGCTAGGCCTCCCCTGGTTCCCATCCCACAGAGCCTTCAGGTGCCTGCCAGGACCCAGGAGCAGTTCCACGGCGGCCCTGCTTCCCCTTCTCTCCCTCTTCTGGCTCACCCTCTCCAGCTGTGCCTGCCTGCCACATCCCCCCACGGCCTTTCCTGCTGCTGCTGATTCTGCCCAGGGCGCTGACCCCAAAGGAGATGATCAGCAATGTATGAAGAACCTCTTCAACTGATGCTGCTGTGTGGATGAGACAGTGTGTGCGTGTGTAAGAGTGTGCAAGATACAGTGTAAGACTGTGTATAAGAGAATGTGTGTGTAAGAGTGTAAGTGTGTGCAAGAGTGTGCAAGATACAGTGTAAGACTGTGTATAAGAGAGAGAATTGTGTGTGAGAGTGTGTGTGTAAGAGTGTGCAAGATACAGTGTAAGCGAGGTGAGAATGTGTGAGTGAGAGTGTGTGTAAGTGTAAGATGGTATGTGTAAGAGAGTATGTGTATGTGTGAGTGTGTAAGAAAGTGTGCAAGAGAGTTAAGAGTATGTATATGAGAGAGGAGAGAATGTGTAAGAGTGTGTGTGTGTGTAAGAAAGGGTATGTAAGAGTGTGTATGTATGTGTGAGAGAGTGTATGTGAGTGTGTGTGTTTGTGGACGTAGATATTCTAACCCAACACTGCATTATTATTATCAAGTGCTAACAACAAACACTCCACTGGAAACCTGCTCTCAGCATTCTTCGCCTGTCTCAGCTAATCAGAAGCGGCAGAGTGCTGGCCCATTACTTGGATGAGCACACAGAGGGTCTTGAGCCACTTGCTTGAGGGCACACAAGGTTCCCCGTGAACCGTACTTCCCCAGTGCTGGGCAGTGGAGACTCAGAGCCCTTGGAAATACTCCAGCAGGAGTCCATCTGTTTCTGTTCTGCCGCACCTCCAGCCAGGGGTGGGGTGCTGGAGTACCTGGAGGGCAGCGGAGACTGAGAAGCCCACGAGGCCGGCGCTCAGGTGAGCCTTGCTCAGCACAGCACACATAGTGGCCACGAACACCAGGCCGTTCCCCAAGAGCTCCAGGTTGGCAGCCAACCACCTGTAAAGGGAAGCAGGGCTCAGCAGGGCCAGCAGGACCAGCAGGACCCACTTCTCGGTCATGGTAAATGCTCAGCACCCAGCGGGGGGCCCACAGGGGGACCTAACTGCAAGAGGAGAGGTAACGCTCTTCTGTCTTGCCTAATACCCAGATGAGGGCCTGGAACATGCCGGGTTCCACAGAGCTTCCTGTTTTGGAGATGTGTATTTTCTAGCCTGTCCCCTCCCTGGTGGGTATGTGGCTACATGTACACATGTGTGTGCAAGCCAGAGGACAATCTCAACTGTCATTTATTGTTTTACCTCTGGCTGCACCTTAATCCACTGCTACTTCAGCCAGCAGCTGAGACTCCGTGGTCACTGGCCTGCTTCTGAGTCAGAGGCCCGGCCACTCAGGCCGCAGCCTGGTGGGGAATCTGTTCCCGCAGGCATGGGCTCTGCCTCTGCTAAAGGTAGCTTTAACTAAATCTCCATCATTCTATTTATAAATAAAACTTGAGATTCAAAGGCTGGGGTGAAAACCTGCTAGCTCAGAGGCTGAATAGCAACCAGCTAAACTTTTCTCCCAAAGAGAGCATCCTTCCACTTGGCCAAACAAAACAGCCTCACCACTCCAAATCCCTCCCCCCCCACTTCTGGTGTCTCTCTCTCTTCCAGATGCCCTGGGATGCTCTTTGGTCACTGTCTGTCAACCAGTCCATAACTCAGCCTCCTGGCACAAGGTTAATTTTGTTTATTCATCTAACGGATAATGAACATGTATTCAGAGTCCGGCGTGCTCAAGGAGTTCAGGACCTAGACTGAACAAGTACCGATCATGTCACTGGGAGCCTCACATGTGATGCCTGGTCCTCCTGCTGCAAGGGAGAAGATACTGTTTCCATTTGACAGCTGGGGAAACTGAGGCTCAAGAAGGGCTGGAACAGTACCGGGCATGGGATCAGCATGTTACAAGTACTCCCTGTAACTATTTAATCCGTAGAGCTACCTTGAGTATGACAGCAGTTGAAAAAAAATGAGGCTCAGAGAGGTCATGTAACTTGTCCAGGGTCTAACAGCTTGAAAATGGCAGAGTAGGAAGTTGAACCCACGTCTTGCTCTTGCTTAGTCCCCAAGGGAGATTAAGGATGCTTGACATCAGTTGCCTTGTCGCCAAGAAAACAGAGGTTGGTACTATGGTCTGGCAACCACACTTCTCTCTGTACCTTCAGTCCACTGGATGTCAGGGACTCTGGCTGTTCTGTGCATCCAGATGCTCTGAGTGGGACTCAGCCTCAGGCTGTCCCCAGCTCAACTCTTGGGGGGAGGGGAGCCAGGTCTACTCTGGTCCCGGGCTCTTCCTACCTGTCAGCCACCAGTCGTGGGAAACTGACCCTCTGGTTCTCATCCATAAGGGCGTCATGCTGCGCCGTGAAGGGTCCCTGGGCCCGGAAGGCCCTGACCACCAGACTGCCCTGGAAGGTCTCCGCCATATGGGAACACACAGCCGAGTAGCTGGCCGACTCCAGGCGTCTCAGCTGGCAAGAAGTGGCCACATAGAGGCTCTGTGGTGGGAGAGGGGAGGAGGGACAGAGACAAAGAGGGAGCACTCAGAGAACAAGGCGCAAGTGTCCTCTGCTGTCAGCCTGCTTGGCCCGCCAGCTTGGTGGTGAGGCAGAGCAGAGGTCAACTGAGGTGAGTCCACTTGTCCCCTGGCGAACGTGTGTATAAACTGAGGTCTGGCTGAGCTGCTCTGAGCCTCTCAGCAACCGGCAGGCAGATGTTCTGTGCCGTCCAGACTGCCAAGGCTGTGGTGCCCACTCGGGCAGCAAAGCTCTGGAGCCGGGCTCCTGGCTCAGGTTCTGATCTTGGCGTTAGGCCAACTTCAGAGGGCCTCTGGCCCTGGCAAAGGAAAGCAGACATCTTAACACAACATAATCGGCCCCCTGCAGTACTGTGCCTCGCAGTGCGCAAACGGCAGACGTGAGGCCGGAAGTTAGACGTGAGGAACTATAGGGAGTGACTGAGAGAAGACAGGGACAGCTGTGGGTTCTACAGGGTGGGGCAGGGCTTCTAGACCCCCCCCCATTCCATGCAGACCCTCTCCCACCAAGCCTTGCCCAGAGGCAGGGGACTGACAGAGGAGACCTCAGCTCAACCTGGGCTCTGACCTCGCCATACCTGAAACCCGGCGTAGAGGAGCACGAGCGGCAAGATGGCCACAATGGCCAGAGGCGTGGCCATCGACACCGCCAGGCCGACCTCCAGGAGGCCGAAGGCATAGGTCAGCAGGGACCTCAGCTTGTCCGGGATGTCCACGTCCACCGTGTCCGTCTCCTTGGAGAAGCGGTTCAGCAGTCTCCCGACAGGTGTGCTCTCGAAGAAGCCGATGGGAGAGCGAGCTACATCCCACAGGAGGCTCCGGAAAAGCAGGCCTGAGGCCCGAGCGCCACCCAGGAACACCGCAGCCATGGAAGCAAAGAGTCCGATGGCTGCGGAGGGGGGGTCGGAGTGGAGCCTGCTGCTGGGCTGCAGCAGGTCTCCCAGCACCCCGTGACCACCGGTGACCACCGTAGGATGTGACAGACCCACTGCTGGGGGTGTGTGTGTGTGTGTGTGTGTGTGTGTGTGTGTGTGTGTGAAGAGTGTCTCCCCAAACTCATGCCCACCCCAACCTCCAAATGAAACCTTATTTAGAAATACGAGTTTCATAGGTACAAAAAAAGCATATGGGTCGGGTGAACCGTGGAGCACGCCTTTAATCCCAGCACACGGGATGCAAAGCCAGGCGGATCTCTGTGAGTTCGAGGCCAGCCTGATCTACAGACCGAGATCCAGGACAGGCACCAAAACTACACAGAGAAACCCTGTCTCCAAAAACAAAAACAACAACAACAAAGAATATTCTAGATTTTGGGTGGGGACTACACCTGTATCCTTCTAAAAGCTGGGCACAGACAGGAGGCAGATGCGCAGACACAGAGACTGCAGTGGCCACAGCTAAGGGGAACGAGGGGTGCAGAAGCCACCACAAACGGGGAAGCCGTGGCAAGGAAAGGTCCTGCCAAGGGGACACTACTGTCAACCACGGTCCCACAGTACAGTGTAGGCAGTCACATGACCCAGCTAGCCAATCAGAGCACACCAGCGATGGGGGGGCCCACTGTGATTGGCTCATGATGGCCGCCTAACTTGTAAAGGGCCAGTCAGAACCTTCCCTGGTGGGTGAAGCCTGAACTAGAGCAAAGTGCCGTGTATTGGGGATATTGGGGTGGCCTGCTGAAAGCATGGTGGTCTCTCCAGTCTCCTCCAGGAACCAGTTCCTCTGGTGGTTGGGTTTAAGATATTGCGGGGAAAATCTGTTTCTGTGACTCTAGAGACTGTCCAGTTCACAGATATGTTTTGTTTCTTTTGAGATGGGGGTGGGGGGGTGTCTCACGTAGCCCAAGCTAGCCTTGAACTTGTAATGTAGCAGAGGATAACTTTGAGCTCCTGATTCCCCTGCCTCCACCTCCAGAGTGCCGAGACTTCAGGGGTGTGCCACCACCCCAGCCTAGCTCGAGGTAACCAGCATGCAGCTGTGTGCCACCCAATGGGAGTTCAAGTCCATTCCAGCTTGGCTGACTGGGTCACTGTAGTGGATTAAGTAACCATCTGTGTTCAATCAGCTTTTCCCAGCTAAGGCAGCCAGGTCTGCAAACTACCAGGGTCCCTGAGGTCAGGGAGGCTCATGGCATCTTGCTGATGTGGTTATAGTCATAGCGAATCAGGCTGATGGTGCTTTTTGTTTGCAGGGCTGGACCCAGGGCCTCACACATCTAGGCAAGCATTCTACACCAAGCTGCATCCTCAGATCCCCCCTTTTACTTAAAAACTACGTTTTTAAAGTAAAGAAAGTCCTTTAAGTAAGTGTGTGTGTCCGTGCCACAGCATGTCTGGAGAAGTCAGGAGACAACCTGTGGGAGTCTGGTCTCTCTTACCACACGGCTCCCAAGAGTTAAACTCAGGTCAACAGGTTTTGGTGACAGGTGCCTTACACGGAACCTTCTCCCCAGTCTGCTTTAACTGATTTTCAGATGGTACCTCACTAAGTTACCTGGGCTCTCCTTGAGCCCAGGGTGGTCATAAACTTGCAACCGTTCTATTCTTCAGCCTCCCGAGTAGCTGGGGTCACAGGCACGCGCCACTATCTCTGGAGAACTTGAAGAACTTTGATGATGGGCCCAAACCCACATGTTCAGCGGCATTTCCCTTTCACTGTGGCCATATTTGAAATGTAGGGGAGTCGGGGCTAAAGACAGTGGGGAGGCTGACCTAGGGCGGATGAGGCTGTACAAGGGCGCCACAGATGATCTGGGCAGGGACATGAATGCTCAGGAGCCTGAGTGTGGAGGTGGTGAGGACATCTCCATAAACCACAGAAGAGTGCCACTCCACATCAAGTCACGGGACTGGCCTAGTCAGCATCCCTGATGCGATATGGCAACATCACTTTGCAGCCTGGTGTCCTTGGCAGAGGGCACTTGGGAGCCTTTGCACCTCGCCTTATGGCAGAGGTGAGCCTGCAATCACTTCAGGAGTTATTGTTATTTTAATAGAAGGGGTTGAGTGTGGTGGTACACACCTGCGATCCCAGGACTTGGGAGATAAGTCGGGGGATCTTGAGTTTGAGGTCAGCCTGGACTCTGAGGAAAGACTGCCTTGAATGAACAGTAACTTAAGTTGGGCTGGGGAGAAGGCTCAGCAGGAGGACTTGCTGCAGAGCTAATGGCCTAAGCATCCCCACCCTGGGATCTGCACAGGAGAAGGAGAAAACTCACTCCTGCAGGTGTGATCACACGTGTGCTGTGGTGTCCATGCACACACCAAAATAAGTAAATAAACAAAT